CTAGGAGCTGAGAAGTTGTGAGAGATACCATTTTCATTGTAGAAATCATCAAATATGACATTGTCAAATTCTGTCCCATGATTTGATCTAATGCATACAACTCTAGACTCCATATTCACCTGAATTTTCTTCACAAAGGCCACAAATACTTCAACCGCTTCATCTTTTGTTCTGAGAAATAGAGTCCATGTGAATCTGGAATAGTCATCCACGATCACGAAAATGTATCTCTTTCCTCCTCTGCTTTGCACACTCATAGGTCCACACAGATCCATATGCAAGAGCTCAAGTGGTTTTGAGGTGCTCACATCTCTTTTTGACTTAAAGCAGGACTTTACATGTTTTCCTCTAGCACAGGCATCGTAGTCTTTTTGAGTTTTGAATTTTGACATAGGCAAACCATGGACCAGGTATTTCTGAATTAGTTTGTTCAGAAGGGAGATGCTTGCATGGCCTAGTCTTTTGTGCCATAGTTCAGCATCATCGTCAACCACCTTTAGACAACTCAGATCACCACTCTATAAAGATTCGAAATCAGCAACATAGATGTTCTTGTATCTTTTGGCCACCATCATTATTTCACCAGTCACAAGGTCAGTGACTGTACATATTTTGGACAAGAACTCCACCTTGTTTCCCTTATCGCAAATTTGAGAGACACTTAGGAGACTGTACTTAAATCCATTGACATAGTACACATTTTTAATAGAGTGAGTGAGTGACTTCCCAACTTTTCCAACTCCAAGAATGTACCCCTTTTGCCATTGTCAAAGGATACACTCCCTCCCTGCAGGACTTTTAGTAAAAGAAAGTTTGTGGTGTTCCCAGTCATGTGTTTCGAACATCCACTATCCACGAACCATTGTTGATCACTTCCCTTCGCTGTCCCCTGCACAAGAATTTTAGGAGTTATTTTTAGGAACCCAAACAAGTTTGGGTCCCTTGTAGTAACCAAGAGGATGAATAAGAGCACTTTTAGTCCATGCAGGCGTTTTCTATGAGTGGAACCTGGTCCCTCATTTGTGATCACAGTTTCAACAACCACTTTATCTTTTGATACTGGTTGATTTTTGGCCTGGACACCTTCCTTGGAGTGCCCAGTGTTCCCATATTGGGTCCAAGGCGAGTTATCGGATGCAGTGGCGCTCTTACTGTAAGGGTTGTAAGGATCCTTTTTCCTTGAAAATCCTGCTCCCCACCCTTTTTCACTATCATTAGGGAACAAGGCAGTGGTAGCCTCTATGGACTAGGTCCACTTTAGAGACTTTTCAAGGTCATTCATTACTTTTTCTAGATTGGCTTGGAGGACCTCATTTTCTCAATTTCAGTGCTCATCCTACATCTCAAGGCCTTTACCTCATCTTCAAGCCTACATATTCCTCACTAACTATCTCCTTTCCTCTTTCAGGGTTTTCAGGTTTTGACTTAGTCAAGGGCTCTACTATTTGTTCCCTTTGGTCAGTAGCTTCTGCCAAGAGATCACTCTTTTCTTTTATAAGAGTTTCAATGGCATTCTTTTGATTAGTAATTACAACCACTAAGTCTTTCCTAGTATGTTCAGATTCTTCTAGTTCTAAGAACAAGGAATCTCTATCCTCCGCAAGACTACAAAATGCAGTAATTAAAACATCAGCTAAACACATGAGTTTTTTTGGAGAGTAGGATTTCAGATTTTTCTGAACTTCCCTGAAGTTTACCTCTTTGTTTCCATTTTCTTCATCATTGTCTGATTGTGCCATCAAAGCAAGCGTTGAGTCATATCCAGTCTCCTCGCCTTCAACTGCCATCGTAGAACTATCGTCAGTATTAGATTTATCTTGTTTTACTTGTGTAGTTCCATCATAAGCTATTTGCAAAGCCTCCCATATTTCCTTGGCAGTGTTGCATGTAGAGATTCTGTTGTACTCGTTAGGTTCCAAACTATATACCAGAATTTTCTTAGCACGAGCATTCTTCTTCAATGCTTTCTTGTCTGCTTCAATGTATTCTCCGCTGGTCTTGATTGGAACAAACGGACCAGTGCAGATAATATCCCAAAGCTCGCAATCCTCAGCCATGATAAAATCATGCATTCTAGATTTCCACCACCAATAGCATTTTCCATCAAACTTGGGTGGGTAGTATATGGATTGACCTTCTTCAAGATTTAGTGGAGCCGTCATGAGGATCCTTCCTAGGTGTTAGCCTGATAGGAGGAACCTTCTCTGATACCAGTTGATAGTTTGTATGGGTCCACCAAGTCTTAGAGTACCTGGTCCTCTACAAGTTTCTGCTGAGAGCACTTAGTAAAGTAGTAAGTAAATGAGGCAGAGGATTTTTACGTGAAAAAAATCCCGCACAAGGAGATAAAAAAACCAAGACCTATACCTGTAGGCTTTTAACTTTACTAACTTGTAATCTTACCTATTACCAACCACTTTACAATACTTCCGATTGCAAAAGATTTACTCAACTAACTTGTGGTACCTTTATCACAAGCCACTTTGTGACTATCCTAGTTACAAAGGCTTTTTCTAACTTGTGGTGCTATCACCCCAAGCCACTTTGCAATTCTACAATTACAAAGATTTTTCTTTATGACTAAATCTTGTCACAACCTAAACTCAGCGAGTTTGAGGATTTACAAGAGGACTCCTAATCAGTATGCTTCTAAGTAAGCAATTTAGGAGATATAGTAAGTACAATAACAAGGTTACAACTCAACTAGGATAACAACAATCAATCTTTTAGGAACTAGTCCATAGTGGTGTTCAACCTTGTTCTTCAAGCTTGAGAGGATGATGAGTTTTCTATTTTTGCAAAAGCTTGAATGAGAAATAGAAACCTTCCAGTGATGTCTTTGTATGAAGCTTCATCGGGTACATCTTGATCACATCACTTGAGGTGATGTGAGTGCTTTGTTTGGTTAGAGAGTGAGTAGGTTGATAGTGTATTGCAGTGCGGTAGAAACAGTGCCATCAGTCACTTCAGTTCCAGCTGTGTCCACATGACTTTGTACTGCTACATAGGAACCACAGGAGCACTAGGTCCTTGATTGTGTCCAAGCTTCTGAATCTGTAGCAGTTCATCCTTAGTTGGAATCCATTTAAGTTTGCAGCAATCCAAGTAGGTCAGGTTCCCTATCTAGTTCTTATCAGTAAGTTTGTTAGATCATCAAAACACAAGGCAAGAGTATTTAAGATTATCACAAATGATTTCCTTTCACTGAAGGCCCTACAAGGAGGGAGTGTATCCTTTGGAAATGGCAAGAAGGGATATATTATGGAAGTTGGAAGGACCGGGAAGTCTTTTTCCCACTCAATTGAAAATGTGTACTATGTGAAGGGGTTGAAGTATAGCTTGCTGAGTATTTCCCAAATCTGTGACAAGGGTAATAAAAGTGGAATTTGTATCTAGAATATGCACAGTCTCAAATCTTATGACTAGTGAAGTGATGTTAGTGGCCAAAAGATACAAAAAAATCTATGTTGCTAACTTCGAGTCCTTGTATGGGTTAAAGCAGGCTCCCCGTGCTTGATGTGAAAAGGTTATCAAAATTCCTTCTAAAAAATGGCTTTACAAGAGGAAAAATTGACAACACTCTTTTTCTGAAGAAACGAGGAAGGAACCTGCTCATTGTGCAGATCTATGTTGATGACATCATCTTTGAAGCAACAGTTGACTCTCAATGTGAAGAATTTGCAAAACTCGTGGGAAGTAAGTTAGAAATGAGTATGATGGGGAAACTGAATTTCTTCTTAGATTTACAAGTGAAGAAAACTCCCAAGGGGACAATAATAAGACAACAAAAGTTCATCAAGAAGCTGCTGAAGAGATTTGACATGGAGACATCAAAAATCATTGACACTCCCATCGCCACAGCTACTCGTCTAGACCTGGATGAACCTAGTTCCCCTGTAAATCAGAACATGTATAGAGGTATCATAGGGTCACTTCTGTAGCAGATCAGATATTGTTTTTAGTGTGGGCCTTTGTGCGGGGTTTCAATCCAATCCAAAGGAGAAAGTGTTAGATATTCTCGGGTTCTGTGGTTTTAGCACGATCGCTTAATTATTAATAATTGGCCTAATTATCTGATTAATTACATATTTTAAACCTTTGTGTATTTTTAACTTTCTAACCACTTTTAACGTTTATAGAATTATTTTCTCGAACAAGTCACGATTGTCGTACACTTGTCGTTTTTGTACACATTGGAAACCACGTCACATGAAATGTACCCCGAATTGAGATTTACGTATCATGACCATGCTACGGGAGCCGTACCCATAGTCACGATGATTTATTTACGTGCCTAAAAATTTTCCTACCCACGTGTGGTTAGCTTAAATATGCTCCCAGCGATTAAAATAATAACGCAAAAGGAAAGAGCAAAAATAATCCAAAGCTCACATAACAATAAAAACAAAACATTTCCAATATGCTATTTAATCAAATTCGTTTCGGTTTTAATAAAACAAATTCAAAACCTATACAACTACGTTCTCAATCCAGTAGCATCACTAAAAGAACAATACAATATCAAATTATGGAAATGCAGCAACCATGAGCAATTAAACCCAATTATGCTTTCTTTCAATTTCCAATCCCACATCTCTTTTGATTAACTTGATTAATGAATACGATCCAATGACTTACAACTAATATCAAATATTAGTTCATTTGCACAACAACTAACAGAAAAACCAATGGAAACTTCTACTGAGAAAAGCATACCTATATATTTACGTGGAAGGGGTCCTTTCTACTAGAGATTTAAGCAGCAACATAATAAACTTTGCAGAAACATTTGTGCAACATAACACCTTTCTTATGACTTCAATATAATCACAAACATATAATGCAGATTACTAAAAAAAATCATTCAAACAACATATAAGAACGAAAACCAATAAATAAAGGGTAAGATAGTGACAGACCTCAAAAAATAATAATTTTGAATCTAAAAATGCTTAGCACTGGGAAATTTGGACAGCGATAACCTCGATAGATATACGAACCTCGAACAGAACCTTGCGCCGGCGAACTCGACTGACTTTTTTCAATGACGATTTTGTGGTGTTTACAACCTGATTTTTGAAGTGGAAATAAAGCTCTGTTCTGCTGGAGTTGAGGGGCCATTTTGAGTTGCTTGTTTAACTAAAATTTGGAATGTTTTGAGGAGTTTTATGGGGGGTTCAATGGAGGAAATAGGTGGTGAGCTATGGCTAAGCTAAGGTGAAGAAGAAATTGGTTTTACGAGCTTCTGCTGGCAACGTTTTTCTTTGTAGAAAAGGGTTCTAACTTAGAGTTCTAAGGTCTAGCTCTCAATGTAAGAAGGAAAAGTTTGGTATTACTAGGATTTTATTTTCGGGGTCTCCCTCTTTGTGGTGGAAAATCTGATCTCCCTAGAGGAAAGGGGTCAAATTAGGTCTTAGGGTTAGGTTCGTGGGTATTGGGCTAAGACTATTTGGGCTAAGGGTAATTGGGTTGGTCTAACTCAAAATATTAATTCTTTTTCTACAAATAATGTAAAATCTATACTATAAAATACATAACTAACTCTAATTAATTAAAATAAATAATATTACATTGTGAAACTATTTTTGGTATTTTTCAAGATTATATAAAAATAAAAAATAGATACAAATAGATGAAAATAGTATTACTACATTAAGTACTAATTAACCTTAAATTAAATAGACTTGAAATTATTTTTGTGTTTTCAATTTTTTTAAATACTAAATAAAATAACAATAAAATTAGTGTATTCAAATCCTAGAAAAATTCAAATAACTCAAATACATATATAAAATATGTGAAACTATTAATATAGCTTGAAGACGTGGCAGATCAAAAATTACATGTTTACAGCTGCCCTCTTTGACTGGAAACACGAAGAGTTTTCAGACAAAGAATGGCGAGACAGGTTTTTTGACCCGACCCTTATTTAGAAAGACAAAAAAACTAAGAGAGGAGAATGTGATCGAGCCTGGTATATGAGCTACCTATATATCCTTGACTATAAAAGAATCAAGCCATATGTAGTTTAGAATTAGGAAGAGTGATGGAGTATACCGAGGTGGAGAGCCGAGTGAAGTGCCGTCGCGGTTCCGGTTCGTGGTCCTGTTATTACATCAAAAATCAACATTAAAAAGACTAACTAAGCCTATCAGCTACGATTTACAAGATTCCTATCTATGAGTCTTTTGAAGCTTGATCTTGAGTCTTGGTTGGTTCTTCATGCGTACTCTGATCTAAATCTTGATGCTAGTTAGCTGCAAGTATTAGTTCATTCTTCCCCGGCTTCTTCGGATCAAGACCAGACATGCAGTGTAACAACCCGGCCGGTCGTTTTAAGAATTAACGCTTCGATCCCCTATAAACTGCATTCCCCGTGTTTGTTTATGCTATTGTGAGTTCCTGGGAGGATTTATTTGGCGTTTCGGAGCGTTTTGGGACACTTAGTCCCTAAATGAGAGTGTTAACTTGTAGAATTTGGGCCGTAGTCGGAGAAGTATGAAGATGACCTCTGAATGGAATTCCGATGGTTCCGTTAGCTCCGTTGGGTGATTTTGGGCTTAGGGGCGTGTTCAGATTGTGTTTTGGAGGTCCGTAACTTATTTAGGCTTGAAATGCCGAAGTTAAATTTTTAAAGTTTTCGGTTCGATAGTGAGATATTGATATCGGGGTCGGAATGGAATTCCGGAAGTGTTAATAGTTCCGTAGTGTTGAATGTGATGTGCTTGTAAAATTTCAGGTCATTTGGACGATGTTTGATAGACTTTTTGATCGAAAGCGTAAATTGAGAGTTTTTGGAGTTCTTAGGCTTGAATTCATGGTTAATTTGATGTTTCAATGTTGTTTTAGGTGTTTTAAGAATTTGTATAAGCTTAGATAGTGGTATATGACTTGTTCGTACTTTTGGTTGAGGTCCCGGGGGCCTCGGGATGATTTCGGGTGGTTAATGGGAAGTTTGGAGTTCGGAATTTGCAGCTGAAGCTGCTGCTGTCATAACCGCACTTGCATGTGTGGGACCGTAGGTGCGGTGCCACAGAAGTGGCTAGGTGACCGTAGAAGAGAAAATGGGTCCAGGCTCCAGAAGCCGCAGGTGCGGTCCTAGAGCCGCAGATGCGGTTTCACTGGTTAGAAAAGGGGCAGAAATGAGGGTTTAATTTCAAAACTTGGAAAATTAATTTGGGAGCTCGGGATTGGCGATTTTGAGAGAGATTTTCACCTGGGTGTTTTGGGTAAGTAATTCTTACTCGATTTTGATTAAAATTCATGAATCTATGCTTAAATTCATCCTTTAAATTCAAATTCGGGGTGGAAAAATTGGAGAAAAGTTGGAAAAGTTCCTAGACCTAATTTTTGAGTTTGGATCAAGATTTTGATGCCGAATTGGAGTAATTTCTATATATATGAACTCATGAGAGTGTAAGGATTTCGAATTTTTAAATTTTACCCGATTCTGAGACGTGGGCCCGAGGGGCATTTTGGTTATTTTACCTAATTTCACATATTAGCTTAGAACTAATTAGTGGAATCAGTTACTTGAAGTAATATTTACATTATGTAGTTAATTTGAATAGATTTGGGCCATTGTGAGTCAAGTACTCGTGGAAAAAGCGTGGTTTCGAGTTGATTTTGAGCCGATTCGAGGTAAGTGGCTTGCCTAACCTTGTGTGGGGGAAACTCCCCTAATGATTTGGTATTATTGATATTTGAAATGCCTTGTACGTGAGGTGACGAGTGCGTACTTGTGCTAATTGTTGAAAATTTGGTTTTCATTAAGTAACTATAATTGTGTTTCCTTTCCTGTTTATACTACTTGCAATTTAAACCTGTTGTTAGCTTAGGGAAGAATATCTAATTGACTTAATTGCTTTACTTGCTCAAACTGCCTTATTTGGATTATGTGTAGCATGCTAGGCTTGAAATATCTATTTTACCTTGGTATGGAATTTGAATTGGATTGTGTATTCTTCGTGTTGTTGCTGTGTGTTTACTTTGAGACTACGATATGGTATCCCAGGAGATCCTCCTGCATGTTTACTTTGGGACTACAGATCGGTATTCCGGGAGATCCCCCTGCACTTTTATATTGGAACTACGGGACTGCACCCGGTAGATTTCCCCTGTACTGAGTATTTACATTTGGGACTACAGATTGGTATTCCGGGAGATCCCCCTGCACTTTTATATTGGAACTACGGGACTGCACCCGGTAGATTTCCCCTGTACTGAGTATTTACATTTGGGACTACAGATTGGTATTCCGGGAGATCCCCCTGCACTTTTATATTGGAACTACGGGACTGCACCCGGTAGATTTCCCCTGTACTGAGTATTTACATTTGGGACTACAGATTGGTATTCCGGGAGATCCCCGCGCATTATGGGTTGGACTACGGGACGGTATCCCGTGAGATCCACTATATATTTATATTTGGGGCTATAGGACGGTATCCTGGGAGATCCCCGGTTGTTATCTTTTTGTTGAGCTGTATTTCTTCTGTGATTATTTTACCTCTGTGGTAGCTGTTGTTGTTCTTTCTCTCCTGTGTTACTTCTTACTGTTGCACTTAATTATGCTGTCTTATTCTATGCTGTTATACCTTGTATTTCATTTAACCTCAATAGGGACTTGACCTTCCTCGTCACTACCCGACCGAGGTTAGATTTGGCACTTACTGAATACCGTTGTGGTGTACTCATGCCCTTTCGGTGCATGTTTTCATGTACAGATCCAGGTACTTCGCCTCAGCCCTACCACTCTTGAGGCGAGGCGAATTTCCAGAGACTTCGAGGTATATTTGCCGCATCCGCAAACCGAGGAGTCCCTTTCTATTTGCTCTTAAAATATTAGACCTTCTGTATTTTCTTTTGTTTAGACATTTTGGAGTTAGATACTTGTAGACATTCAAAAGCTTGTGATTTCATGAGATTTCGGGTTTTGGGAAATGTAGTTCCACTTGAGAGTTGTATTGTATATGCCGAGCGGCATCTTAAATGTTTCATTTTGATATTTTTCTACAGTTTTGGCTAGTTTTATTCTGTTATTTTCTATTTTTGCAATATGTTAGGCTTACCTAGTCGTAGAGACTAGGTGCCATCACGACAATTTACGGAGGGTGAACTTGGGTCGTGACAAGTTGGTATCAGAGCTCTAGGTTCCTAGGAGTCATGAATCACAAGCCGGTTTATTAGAGTCTCACGGATCAATACGGAGACGTTTGTACTTAACTACGAGAGGCTATGTAATTGTTAAGAAAATTCCACTTCATTTGATTTCCTTGTCGTGCAAGATTTTGATATCACAATTCTAAACTTCTGCCTTCTATTCTCTCACAAATAGTGAGGACACGTGCTACTAGAGATGATGCTCTAGGATTTATAGATGAGTGCCACCACATTCTCCCTACCATGGGTATATCCGAAACGAGCGGGGTTTCCTTCACTACCTTCCATCTTCGAGGAGCCGCTTATGAGTGGTGGCGTACCTATGAGTTAGACAGTCTAGATGAGGCATCTTCCCTGACTTGGACTTGATTTTCAGATATATTCCTGAGAGAGTATGTTCTTCAAAGCCTCAGGGACGCATGACACATAGAGTTTGAGCATTTGCGCCAGGGTACTATGATTGTCTCGGAGTATATTCTCTGTTACACTAGCTTGGCAAGACATGCCCCATCCTTGGTTTCTACTATTCGGGAGAGGGTTCACCAATTTATTGAGGGGCTTATTCCCAGCATTAGGTCTAGCATGGCTCCTGAGTTGGAGATGGATATTTCTTATCAGCAGGCGGTGAGCATTGCTAGGAGGATAAAGGGTATGCATGCTAGGGATAGAGAGGAGAGAGAGGCCAGGAGGTCTCGAGAGTCAGGACATTATTCTGGTGCTCGTGCTCTAGCTGCAGTTCGTCATGGTAGGGGAAATATGAGTCGCCCGATTCATTCAACTCTTCCAGCAACCAGTGGTATTCCAGCTCCTCCTAGGCCTCAAGAGCCTTATTATGCACCTCTAGTATCTAGTGCCCCTCCTGCACGGGGTGCTTTCAGTGGTCAGCCCAGCAGACCTAGCCCGAGCCAGTCACAGCCTCCACGTCCTCCTAGAGATTATTTTAAGTGTGGTGACACACGCCATATGGTGAGGGATTGCCCCAGACTTAGGAGGGGTACACCTCCATAGACTTTTCAGCCACAGCATGCCCCACAGAGTTCTCAAGCTATGGTTACAACTCCAGTTGCTACCCCACCTGCTCAGCTAGCTAGAAGTGGAGGTCGGGGAGGTAGAGGTCGCCCTAGAGGGGGAGGCCAAGCCAGATATTATGCTCTTACTGCCCGTACTGAGGCTGTCACCTCCAAT